AACAAAAGTGCTCGTCTTGCCATACAGCGAGATAACAATTTTAATGATCCAATCATTTTGGAACATTTTGAATAAACGTTATCTACATGTGGAGTCCAATCCAAATTGGGAGTTAAAACTAGCCCTAAATGAGTATGTTTATCAACATGCTTCAACATCGTATCACCAAGAATAAGTGCTAGCGGACAGGCTGTAGCTTTATGTGTGAAGAAAACCGAGTAACATTTGAGAACATTTATGTTCTGCAACCAGTCCTTTACCATTGATAAACTCGCTCCAAATCTTTGTTTATATTCACCACATCTTGATTCGTCTTAACTACCGTATAGAGAGACATCATCAGCAAACAACCTGCACGTGCAGACCATTGACCGTGGAAGATCATCGATGAACAACAAAAAGGGAAGTGGCCCTAGAATCGAACCTTGTGGTACACCACAACCGATACGCGCACTAGATGATGTGAAGCCTTCTACCATGGTGACAATATTTCTCTCATTCAAATAACTGCAAAACCAACCAAGCAGCGATCCGCGAATACCTTTACTCGCTAGCTTCAGTAATAAACCTTCATGTGAGACCTTGTCGAACGCTTACAAAAGTCGACGAAAGCCGTCAGAACTGGTGCTTATCATTAAAAGCTGAAGCAATGTCATGAACCATCTGAACTAACTGAGTAATTGTGGAATGAGATGGTAGAAAACCTGATTGATTCGGACTAATTTCTCGTGCTTTAATAAGAAATGTAAACACTCGCTTGAATATGACGCGTTCGAATATTTTGGAAACAGCTGAAAGGAGGGTTATCGGTCGATAGTTTGTGGGGTGATGAACATCACCTTGTTTAAATATAACGGTAACAAAGCCCAGCTTCCACTGTGAGGGAAATGTCTCCATTGACAATGAGTGATTGAATAGCCGTGTTAGAACAGGTGTTAATTCGAAGGCATCCTCCTTCAAGATTCGCCCACTGATCCCAGGAGCAACAGCTTTCATTACATTTATTTTCTTCAACGAATAATATACCTCATTGACATCGATAGTAAAAGTGGGCATAATTTGCTTAGGAGTGGGCAACGTTGGAAAAATATGCCCTTGAGTATTTAAAGGCGTGCACACTTCAGCAAAATAACGATTTAGAACTTCACCTTTTTCGCATGGATGACTGACCATACTATTTGTTCGCGCATCATGTAATGACGCAATTGAGATCTGTTTATATTTTCCCAAAGCATGTTTCACTATTGTCCACCACTTTTTTGATGAGTTATTCACATTCACATCGATTTGTAATCGTGAATGCCTGTTTTGCTTGGATACATTCTTTCTCGAACAAAGACGCTGCAGTCAAGTATAACTGCTGATCGGTTGCGGCTAGGCTTTTAGCATATTTCTGATACAGTTTCTGTTTGTTTGCATTGACTTTTTGAAGTTTATTAGTCACGGTGCATCATACACCCAAGTATTGCTGTAGTTTGTTCATGCGCCAGAATATTGCTGATGCTTCACGTTCAATTGTTTTGTAATTCTTTTCAGTTGGTGATAACAATCGGCTCTAGTAAGGATTGTAGTGAGTGTTTCGTCAATCACTTGTTTCAACGCACCACCGATTGCATATTCTGATGCATCTGTTGCCAAGATAAATTCTGCTGTTGGATGTGGATATTTCAACAATAGTGGTGGTGTCGTAAGAATTTTCTTCAAATTTTTGAATGACTCTTTATGTTCTTGATGCCGGCAGAATTTATGTTTCATCTTCTTCGTTTTGTTTGTCACTTTGTGGATGGGCTGCCATTGCTGCGAACTGCGGAATGAATTTTCGATACCACCCAATCTTGCCAATAAATCGATTTGCTTGTGATAATGTTCGTGGTTCTGGCATATCCCGGGTGGTTTGAATGCGATCATTGGACGGCTGAATAGAATCACTTGTGATAATATGACTCAAGAATTCTACTTGTTGAGTGACAATGAGTCATATTTTTGGATTCAATTGAAACTGATGTTGGTTCAATGTTGATAAAATCTCATTCAGATGTTTCATATGTTCCTCGAATGAATTAGAGAACATGATAATGTCATCGAGATATACGACCACAAACCAACGTTTATAGCCAATAATGTTGTTCATAACACGTTGAAATGGTAGAGATTCATGAGTCCCATCGACAATACTTCAAACTGGTAGAGACCGTCTCGAGAAAATGCTGTTTTTGCTTTGTCGTAGTCTTGAATTGGGATCTGGAAATAGCCAGACTTTAGATCTAATTTTGTAAACCACTTATGACCGCCCAATCGTTGTAAAAGTTCCTCGGTAGTTGGTTGAGGGTATGAATCTTTTCTGGTGATAGCACTCAGTTTCCAGTAGTCGACAATAAATCGGAATTCGCCATTTGGCTTTTTCAATAGTATCACAGGAGATGACCAAGGTGAATGAGATGGTATTATGATCCCTGTTTTGAGCATCTTGTCGATCTCTTGTTGGATATCTTTACGCTGTTGAATTGTTTTAAACTACGGTCTTGCACTAATTGGCGGATGATTGCCTGTATCGATGACATGATGAATTGGAGTAATGACTTTTTTAGTCGTTGTATCAAATAATGAACCGTATTGTTTCAAAACGGATGCGACTGTGGAGTTTTCGATAGAATCAGTAAGATGATCGGTAAGAGATTTGATAACCTCTCTTGATTGTTCACTCAAGCTGGACGCTCTTTCCTAGTCGTCATTTGCATTTTTCATTCTTGTTGTGTTTTGTAAATCGAATACATACGCTTTCATGGATAACCTTGACATTGTGCCGATTTTCATGTCTTGTTCTAATGTCACCGGGTGTTTTGATGTGTTGACTACATTCAACTTCATTATGTTGTTGTTGACTGTCACCAGTCCATCTTCTACTGTTATGCCTTTCTGTTGCTGAATATGGTGGTGCAGAGCTTGAAAATACAGGTGAGTCGCATTTAGTATCGAAGATTTAACTTGTACAATACAGTTCACACCAGATAAAATATCATATTATCGGACTAGTTTGACAGCGATCTCTGCATCTTTCGCAAACCTCACCGTCGCACAGTGGGCAGAAATGCCACAGTATCCGGAATAATAAGAGTCCCGAGATATTCAATGAAGCTGGTGGTTCTGGGGGTTTTCAATCTTACTGAATCGATTGCTGGTGGTTTGAGACTTCTTTGATCACAATAATATGTATTAAATCACGAAAAAGCCAGATATTTTCAACTCTTAAGCTGATTTTTGGACTATTGATAGGATTTATACGAGTAAAATGTTCAGGACAATGGCTATTGAAAGTTCTAGAAGGATCTGGGACGACCTCATAGCTAAGCGCCTAGAACAATCTCATAGATTCTAGAAGCACCTGGAGGAATACTTTGAAATGGTCTGAAAGAATCTTGTGGAAGGTTCTAGAAGGATCTTGTAGGTAGCCGTTGGGTATAAATACGGTTGTGACTGCAGTATATTCCATGAAATTTTTGTTTGGTGTTTATATCTCAGTGTCAGTAACGTTTAAGCAAATTGTGACAAAAGCTGACTTGTGTCAGCTATATCTAGATTAGAATAAAGACCTGGCTATAGCAAATCTCCGTTTATTAGAATTATTAAACTTAGAAAACGACGCGAAATCAATTGAAACAGCGGAAGAACTTTTTCGAATTCATGTTGTCAAACGAAAGTCAAGATTAAGATATTGGCAACAACATCATCGATCAACTTCTTGGTATGCAGAAGAAGTACCTGTAGAATCACTTTTCCTTCAATTGGCGACAGATAATCAAAACGAAAATATTCCAACAGATGACGATGATGATAATGAGTTAGGGCCTACTCAATATCTTGGAACCACGACAAAATTTTCAGAATTAACACTCAAGCAAAAACGATATCGGACGAAGAATATCACAGAAACACTTCAGAGCGCTGCTGCGAACAATAATCTATCCATGAATCAACTTCTTGCTTATTTACTTTACAGAGTAAATTATCACTCAAAACCGTATGCTTGCAGCAGTAGGACAAACTATGGAAGCAAGTAGCGATTTTACAGCTACAGCGAAATTGTCAGTTCATGAAACAATTGCCATACAAAGTTATTTGGATTTGAGTAAACATGATTTACGATTTTTGAAAGCCATTTTGGACGACAAAATTCACGTGCCCAATACCACCGATATTCTCCACGCCAAAAAATGCTTGAGACCTAATGTAACTGAGTGACGAGATTGCCGTGGAATAACGATAAAATCCAGAGGTGATATAATTATTAGAACAGTTCAGCGTCTTATTGATGTTGCCAAAAGTCAAGAAAAACAAATTCCACAAACATTATTATACAAAGAAAAAACCGGACATGACGGAGCTGGAACAATGCCAGTCTATCACAGCCCCAAAAATTCACAAAGAGAATCAAATATTTTTTCGAAATTGTTTACACCTTTAAGCCTGACCGCGATGCTGACCGGCAACGTTATATGGAAAAATGAAGCTCCTAACAGTTCAAAAACGACACGACCACTTGCACTTATTGCAGAAAAAGAAACTGCAGATCTTCTGTCGTTTGTGAATACAACTTTCGAGCCAGAAGAAAATCAACTACAGAAAGATGGAATTCAGTTTGAGTACGATGGTGTGAAATACAATGTTCTTGTTGAAATCCACCGTAGTATGAAGGACTTCAAAATTCGACAACTGGAATCTGGACTTCATGGGTCTCATTGTTTGTTATGTTATTCAACGCCTTCTGGATGGAAAGATATTCATAAGATAGAATCCGGATTTCCTATTGAACGAACAGCCTCAGATACTATCGAGCTCTACAATGAAATGCCAGACGAATATGGCGACGTTGAACGTCGAAGAAATGATTATGCAACTCGGAAAGGTTTAACTTCTAAACCATTGAGTCAAGATGATCATCACTACATTACAATCATCCACAAATATATAAATTTAACGAATTGGATATTAAAAATAATGTATCACTTCCACGCCAATGTTCTAAAATGGACAGAAACTGGAAAGACAACACAAAAATAAAAATTGAAAAAGCACGTGAGGACATTCTTTAGCGACTAGAAGAAAAAACCGGCCTTCGACTAGATCAAACTAATAGTCCGGGCTCAAAACAAGGCACTTCAACTACCGGCGAACAAGGAAGACAATTTTTTTCGAAAAAAATCGATTGTCTGTTGTTGAATGTGTACCAAAACAATATCAAGATGTTTTAAAGAAACTTCTTCATCAATTAGCCATCATTTTACGTGTCGTGTCGTCAACATCTACTGTTAACACAGAAAAATTCCGACAAAAATGTGTTGAGTTTGCAAAACTAATTGCAATTGAACTGCCATGGGTCGAGTACAATCTAACTTCTCACAGTCGCATCTTCCATTCAACAGAACTCATCGTTAGAAATGATGGTATTAGTAATGGACAGCTTTCAGAAGAAGCGCTAGAATCTTGCAACAAAGACGTGAGAAATTATAGAGAGTTTTTAAGTCGAAAATGTGGACATGTTGTAAATTTGACGAATATATTCAATCGATTATTTGAACGATCTGATCCGATGGTTACCGAAATTGTACGGCGAAGCTTAGTCAAATATAGCCGACAAATAAGACCAAGAACATCTGTATTAACGGAAGAGGATGCTATTGTTGAGTCCATCTTAGCTTTTGAGTGAAAAATACTTTGTAAATATATTTCATTTGTATATATTTCGTATGTACACTCTTTTATATGTAAATTTAATTCTTCCAAATACAAATAAAGTACGCAAAGTCAACGCAAGGGTTTTCATACAGTATCATAAGGGAGTGCATTACATACTGTCCTACTAGCACTATATTCTGAAGAAGTTAAATGCACATCATGTTCCAAACTTAAATTAATCATTATTCGAAACATTCTACTGATATGGAATCCTACCAAAAGTCCAAAAATCGGCTTAAAACTTCAAAATGTATTATTTTTTCTGAAGTAATAAATATTATAATAGTCGAAGAATTCTGAAATCATCATCAATCACCTCAGCAAGATTGAAAACCCCTAAAATAATTAGATTAAATCAACATTTAGATTCTTTCTCGTTTTTCCGCTCATCACACATGTTTATCGTGCATCGAACATGCGAGAGAAGAAGGGAGGTCTTGAGTGGCCTACAATTCTCTTATATATTCGTTGGGTAAGTTTGGGCAAAAACTGTGCATTACTAATCCTCTCCCGCGTACAATGGTGATAAATAAATGGGAGTTCGTGGGCGATGTAGTTATATCACTTCTCCATACACACAACATATATGGTGATTCAAAAAATTCAAAGATTGCAAATCGTAGAGAACAGAAAGAAACTCGCTTGCACCTTGCAGCAACCTGGAGGTGACCTGTTTATAACCGAATAATAACAACATCAATTCTTGGTTTCCTTGAAATTAAATACGCTCATCATTTGAATGTTTTATCGCTTGAAACACATATGAGTGTAAGAATCGTGGTGGCACTGGAAAGCTAGACCGAGTTTTCAATCCAAATAAAGACCGCCACTAGGTGTCATTAAGGACAAGCTTTATTAAAACCTGGTGTTCCGGCTAAAATTCCAAGATCGATTTTAGCTGATTTTTCCGGCTGGTTGCCCACTGTGCGTCGTTTGTTGTCGCCGATTATGAATTTTCAGGTGTTTTTTACCTGGAAATATATGCACGTCGTAGAATGTGACTCAATCCAGCCCGAGAATGAAGTCAGCAGCCAGCTCATCTACTACCATTGCCTTGACCTTGGTTTTCATGTCATTAACTTTCACACACAAGTTCACTGAACCATATTGCCACAAAGTTGTTTTGCCATCACCCAAGGTAATATCTCCCACTGTTCCTCGTATGTGATGATGGTAATTCACTTGTTTCAATGTTAATAGTTTGATCAATGATATTGTAGCGCCTGTATCCACCATCACTCGAATGCTATTTCCGTTAACCACTGTTTTGATGAAGAGTAATTCTGATGGATATTGACTCTATTTGGAGACACTACCACCATGTGACTCCATTAATAGTTTTTTTGAATTCCAACAGTCACGAGCAAATGACCACTCTTGTGTCTGTTGACCAGGCTTTCTTCTTCTTGAGCCGCTTTGATGAACTCAGACGGTGTTTGCGGATTTTTCCTTGACACTTCCTTCTTCAATGACAATTTCAGTCCACTTTTTAAATAGCTGACCTATAATGAGTCGCTCATTCGATCGTCCATAACCTCAAATAATTCCATCATGTCGTTGTAATAGTGCATGACAGTCTCATCTAAGCCTTGACGACGCTGCCCTATTTGACTAATGGCTACTTCTTTTGCAAACACCGATGAGTACGTTTTCTCAATTGCTTCATTGAATTCTGACCATGTCTCTAATGTTCTCATGTTATTGGTGAACCATTTTCTTGCATCATCAACCAAATATGTTTGAATAATGCCCAGTTTTTGGCTATCGTCGAACTTCACCAGATTCAATTCGTTCGTAATATCTTTCAGCCACTTGGTCACATTTTCGGTCAGTTTTTCACTGAATGTTGGTAACTAATGCAATTGTTTATTAATGTGCGATGCCAATGCTTTCTCTGCCATTTCAAATGGTGATGGTCGACGAACAATAAAGACTTCGGTGGCTTGAGTTTGGGTTGATTGTTCGATTTCGATATCGCGAAATCGATTCAGTTCTTCCAAATATAGCTGCCGGTTTTGATCGTCAAGTAATTGTTGCTGTGCTCTTGTTACTACTATACAGTTGAATCACTTACTTGTATTAATCCCGGCTAGTGCACCAATGTTAGGTTCCCGGGTAAACTAAGATCTTTCTCACCTAACCTTTATTTACAAATAAGAAAAGGTATCTCTTAATAATAAACTCGATCTATTTATACTCGCAATATTGTGCATTGCTTGACTAGACTGTACGCAATAATCTTAAATATTCTTGCACCCTAATCTTCAATATCTTCTTGCACCATAACCTTGAGTAATCTTACGCAATAACCTTGACCGCAGTCTTGCACTATAACCTTGAATATATTCTTGCGCAATTACTTAGACTATATGCTTGCGCGATAACCTTAACTATGATCTTCTCCTTTATAGCACGATTGTAGTGCGTGGCATAACAAAGGGGAACTTTTTTTAGAATTCCTTTTCCTTGCTGAAAAAAGTAGACTTTACAGGAAAAATTAAAATTCTAATACTAATTCGCAATTTTGCTTCGAAGAATTACTGAGATTTTCATCAAAAAGTGAAAACCAACGAAAATTTTTGACATATATATCATTCAACTCGATATTCGATGCTGATTGTGAATATGATATTTTCATAGGGTGAAAGTTGAGTTCTGATGGAGAAAATTGCGAATTAGTATTAGAATTTTAATTTTTCCAATAAAGTCGATTTTTGTCAAGGAAAAGGAATTTCAGCAAGGAAAAGGAATTTTAAAAAAAGTTCCCCATACTTTTGTAGCTTAAAACATGACCGTTCTAATGATGTATGAATCAAAGGTATAATAGTTGCATCCTCTCTTATTTGTGGGAGTAAAATGGCTAAAACATCAGTTGTGTTGACTTCTAGGTGTCGTATTTGACCTATAAAGGATTGAGCCAGTGATATATAGAGTTTGTTTATTCAGAATATTTGCAGAGCTTTCCAGAGCTATTTTTCTATACTAAAGACCAGTCATATTCTCTCTTATTTATGTTAAATGCAGTTGGCCAAAAGCAGTGGAAAGCCGGACCCCCTCTTTAGGCCAAAAAAGTGGTAAGGTAGTTTTGTTCATCATTAGACAAAAAAGTGTCTATCAACCTAGGAGAGGTAACCATTTTTTTGCCTAATTTTCGCTTTTTCACTGTGAATGAAGTGTTTTCCAAAGTTGAGTTCGAGAGACAAAGGTGTCAAGCTTAATTTTCTAATTTTGATCTGTTAAGCTCGACTTCATACAATTCGATCTTAGGAAATTATGTTTACTGCATTTCATGTTCTAAACTCGAGTCTCAAAAATGCTTTCTTCAACGTATACTCACTTTGATAGAACGGCAAAGTTCTATGTTTCTAGTCAAAAATTATACCATCTTGCAGAGAGTTTTGAGCTTTATCTGCCTTGTAAATTGCTAGTCCTTTAGACATATCCTTGATTAATTAATTAGAAATTGCGAAAATAAAAGAACATAGTCGTTCTTTTCATTTTTCCTATCTGGAATAATTATGGACACTCAGCTATTTTTCATGATAATTCTGGACAGTCCATGCAAATGACACGCGATAGACAGAAAAAAACTTCCACATTTTTTTAAGTTGTGTGTGTTAAAATATTCGATGTTTCTTATCTTTATTCAATTGAACAAATTAAACGTTAATAGTCAAGTTCTAGAAGAAGTTTGTTCAACTAAGATGGCTTTTCGATTTTCTCTTCGGATCATGGTAGGCAAGTCTTTGGAATCAAGTGCTCGCTAGCAGAGCTAAATGAAAAGCTAAGCTCATTTGAGCAGAGTTCAAGTATCGTTATATGTGAAATGTTCTATTTAAATTTGGCATTTTAAGTTCGATATTTTCCTTTCGTTCTTTCTGTTTTTTCTAACATCATAGTTCAACTTACGACTTCAAACATACTGCTTTATTTGTCTTCTGTCTCAAATTCGTCGATTTTATTATCTTATTTTATAAAAATTTTTATTCTTAAGTTTTACATACTTTTAGTTTCATAATATAAAGCTTTTAGGCACTGTTATGCGTTGTACGTTAAGAGAAAATATAAAAACTGTTCCATAGTACTTTTGTTTGTCTATCTTATCTTGCCCTTTCCACAATTTAACGTTATTGCTTATATCTTTTACAGTTGCCATAATAAGATAATAAAATCGATGGATTTGAGACAGAAGACAAATAAAGCAGTATGTTTGAAGTTGTAAGTTGAACTATGATGTTAGAAAAAACAGAAAGAAACAGAAAGAACGAAAGGAAAATATCGAGCTTAAAATGCCAAATTTAAATAGAACAATTCACATATAACGATACTTGAACTCTGCTCAAATGAGCTTAGCTTTTCATTTAGCTCTGCTAGCGAGCACTTGATTCCAAAGACTTGCCTACCATGATCCGAAGAGATAACCGAAAAGCCATCTTAGTTGAACAAACTTCTTCTAGAACTTGACTATTAACGTTTCATTTGTTTAAGTGAATATTCTCTTTGATAAGGAAAAAGTGCTTTGTGTTTGTCAAACAATAATATTGTGAACCAGATAACTCAAAAACTAGGCGATAAAAAATCTTGATAGTTCGGTGAAATTGGTTATTTGATTTGAAAACGGATATATAAATACATACATATATATTTGTAACTGATATTTATAAATATTTTTCACTATCGCCGATAATAATGGGGCTTGGTAATAAAAATGAAAATTTGTTCTATTTCTGTACATAAAAATATATCCGATTTTTTACATTCAGCAAAACCAGAAAAAGAAAAAAGAAAGTGAGTGATATTAATCTATATTTACGCGCAGACTTATTTTTGACGACTTCACTTAGTTTCACAGGTCAAAGTTTTATGATTTAGTTAAAGACTTATTCTGTAATTCTCAACCTTCTCATTTTCTCCTTTCTAATCGTTATCTATGACGATAAAATTAAAGGAAAGAGAAAACATAACGTGCGACGTTAAGAAAAATGCTTTTCTTACCGTACGAAACGAAGGAGTTACGTATATTACGCGAAATTCTTAACGTAAGTGAATCATCCTTAACGAGATAACATAAATGAGTCATTCCCAGCTAGGTATAATAGTACACTACTATGGACAAGACGATGTATTTTCTTTCTGTTCATTTCATATCGTTTCATTTCTTTAGCGTAATCATTTGTCCTGTAATACTTAACGTTAATTTGTTTCTTACGTTAAGAATTCCATATTTCGTTTAGACGTTAAGCTGCCATTTTGTTTTTCCCGTTTCTTACGTAACATTTCGTTTTCTTTCCTTTTCGTTAGTTATCAAGTATGTGAACTCTAAATTTAGACGTAAGGCACAGAACAGATCACATTATATTCGAATTTAGCGAAATGCTATACAAGTAATAAACGACTATAGCGATACCGTAATTTTTATTCCTTTCCTTCCTTTCGTTATCCATCAATTAATACTCATGTTTGACTACACGACGACCCATCACTAATTCGGCGTACATGTTTTTATCTAACCATGCTAGAAAACGAATGTGTCTGTGTCAATCTTTCTCTCTCTTTAACTGTATATCAGTGTACATTTCCAACTTTTTACTTTACATAACAGTCGAAATGATTCTTGGGTTTTTTTCCTCTTTCTTTTGTTCTGTTCATATGTCTTTTATACAGTAGGTCTTCTTTTTTCTTCTTCTCTTCATTACATCCACAACACCCACACTGCTGCATAAAATATATTATAGGTAGCACTAAAGAGTGGAAGAACGAAAGAAAGATTTTGAAAGATTGAGAAATTTGTTTTCTTTTACTCGCTTATGACATGTGTGGCCTGTGATGACTAATGTTCTAACAAGTAAAGGAATCATACTTCGCTCATTTTTGCGTTGATACAATGACTAAACAAATAAAAACTAAGATAGAAACATTTTATCACGGAACTGGGAATAAATAACGATTTCTCTAGGAAAAAATGAAAGAAAAATGGCAAACATAATTTTTAGTTATATACCACGAATTTTTCGTTAATTTCATTGTATTCTTATTATTATTCTATCAAAAACAATAATAATCTTACAGTGCTATAAGTGAGTCAGAAAAGGATAAATAGAACAATACGTGGTTTTAGTTTTTGAGATTCTATCTTCTGTTTGTACAGTCTGACCAATCAAAATGCAATCGGATCTTGTCGAATTTTAACTAAAACTTATAAGATCCGATGTGAGAATTTTTAATTTTTAATTCTAAAAACGAATTTTTTAATTTTTGATGAAAATAATCAAAAACGGGTTATTTCACCTGTGATAGGTTTTCATTCGGTTCTTGCATTTTGTTCTGAAAACTAACATTGCCATGTGACTCGGCATGGTCGATAACCTATGTTTTCATTAATTTCCCATAAAAAAACCTAACGGCAGAGGAGTGCTAGGGCTTCAGGAAATGCATTCATAGCTCCCAAACCATGGGTTTTCAGGATGTCGCTTGGGTCTAGTTTTGTAGAGGATACTTCAGACTATATACGTCCTCATAGTTGGCGAAAGTATGGGGAACATGAAGAATGACAATTGTAAAATACAAGCGCATTTTGTCATATAGTTCAAGACATTTCAATAATTCCATAGCCAATAATTGCTGTACGGCCTATTGATTACACTCATAAATCCAGTTTTTAATAAGCATTAATTTAGTATAGAATACTCTGTGATATCATTTATACTTTAAGTTGCATAGAGGGGCGTAATGGTTTTGTAACACCCTGTACTGCTATGACAAACATTTTATTAAAATTTTTCTAAATTTATTTGAACTTTCGATCAGAACCTAGTTCATTTTCAAGAGTGAATGACAAAAAGAAAAGAAGAAGTTTATATATAAAAATACATGCCGAATGAAAGAGGAAAAGAAAAATACATAATAACACATTTTTCAAACTTCTTCTTTCGTTCGACTACACTACGTCTTTTCTTTTTGTCATTCACGCTTGAAAATGATCTAACGAGGGAAGGCCACCAACTGCCTCGTTTTTTAAAGATCTTGGTTTTTCAATCGAAAAACCATTTTCACTAAAACATTTCCTTGACCTGTCCAAATGAAAGAGCACATCGTCAAACCTACAGAAAACAATTTTTCAAGGTTCTAAGCGAGATTTTGAGCGAGTCTTCTGCGTCTAAAACTTACTGCGTTTTAAAAAGAGGAAAAAACCGCTAATATTGAACCTTGAAAAATTGTTTTCTGTAGGTTTGACGACGTGCTCTTTCATTTGGACAGATCAAGGAAATTTTTTAGTGATCTATAAAAAACGGGTCTTTAAATCGAAAGCGAGCAAAAACCATTGTGATATTCGGAATCAGCATGTTCGATTACCTATTGTCAACTGAGTTTAAGCTCAAAAGGGAGAAGGCAGTTGGTGGCCTTCCGTCGTAAGTTCTGATCAAAAGCTCAAATGTTTAAATAAACTCAGAAGAATTTTATTAAAATATTTTTCATAGCAGTATTATACTTTATATATTTAAAACGATTTAGGTTCCATTAAGCGTATTTTTGAACCTGTGCTGTGCCCTCGTATTAAAAATTATAACCTTAAAAATTCAACAGAAGTAGATCTCAAGGATCTATCGAACTGTATATTTAGAAATGTTTTAAAATGTTCAGAGAAAATGGAAAATGGCTGTTTATAGGTAGGATTTTGGTCAAAAGTTATCTTGTGACTCTTCTCTCGCGATGATGATGAACTTTTTATACTGTTTTAAGATAGATTTCTATGTAACTCGATGTGATCTAAAAAATTAGCTATGTTTTGACCTTTTCCAAATATGTGCTATATATTTTCAGGAGGAACTGATTGGAGTTAGCTAAAAGACGAAAAAGAAATGGCACGTACTGATTCTGATGTAGCAGAATTGAAGCCATGTTTAACATCTGTTATTGATCAAGTGCAAGATGCCATTAATAAACTGAAAATTAATGATGATAAATCTATCAATAATGAGTTTTCAAAAGCCAACGTTGTTCTAAATAATGCTTTTTCATTAAACAATGATGAAAATGAATTATTGGATACGCTAACCACTGAAATTGAAACTACATTAAATCAATACCTTCCACATTTATCGCAAATTTGTTTAAATTATTTATTAAATTTTTTCCATCCATATCATTATGATCAACAAACAAGAACATTTTCCCAGTTGTTAACCATCAATGTTTTACATCCATTTTGTCGTGAGCTAAAAGGTCTTTTTGCATCTGTTGATGCATTTCCAGCAGCATTCAGTGGAAAATTATCTGTTGTTAAAGAATTTATTAAAACCTATCCAACATTTAAAGATAAGCCAGGCCTGTGGGGTACAACATTATTATATTCAGCTGCACGTAATAATCATTTAACAATTGTACGATATTTATTATCGGACGCTCGATGTTCGGTTAATGCACAAAATCAACATGATATTACCTTTTCATTAGCAACTGGTGATTTTATTCCAAATGCAACAGCTGGTTCAACAGCTTTACATGGTGCTAGTTATAACGGACATTTGGAAATGGTTCAATTACTCATTCAGCATGGTGCTGATTATTTTAGACTAAATCAAGCAATTGAAACTCCTATCGAAAATGGTGAGTTTCGTAGTAGTATAAAAGAATTTTTTAAAAATTTTCTTATACTTGGCTATTCCTTGACACCCCTGCCATCATCGACAAAATTGCCAAATAAACCAATATCCGAAGAAAAACAACTCATTCGTGATTGTCAATGGGAATATAAATTATTTCAAGACTCAGAATGGTTTCAGTTTGCAAATGAAGAATCCAATGAATTACAACAATCATTACTGGATTTTACCACATCCGATATACATTTAACTGTGCAACAAAATATTTATAATGTCTCGATGGTTAAATTTCTACAATCAGGTAAAGATTCGACTCCAGCATGGATAAGATGTCGTGGTTCAAGTATTCTTAATTTTGGTATTTATTCACTATGGCAGATGATGCTAATTGAGCATCCCAAACCAGTAAATGCCATATCATTTAATCCATCGTTAAAAATATTCAATATTCCTACCACATTCGATAGCACATTTAATATTCAATTGAACTCCTGGTACAACTGTGATGTACAAACCAACGCTCTTCTGGATCAACAAATGAATTTGAGACGAAAACAACAAACAGTTTCCAATATTGAGTATATTGGTCGTGATTTAATATTTGACTTACAAACATTTACATTTTCAAATAATGAGAAAACGATATGGGGTTTTGTTCGATGGTTACCAAAATTGATTTCAAGTACAGAACAAAATAAAAATAAAATTGTACATTTAGATAATTTTCAAGCGAATATCGGAAATTTAAATGCAATACCATTAACAACCATACATGTTGAACGTGTAGCAAAATTAGCAACAAATAAGAAAAAGAAACATGTAGATGTTGATACCGTTACTTATTCAGATGAAGATGGCGACGATGATGAGCAAGATATTGAAGATGAATTATTGATGGGAATAAGTGGAAGTAATGCGGAAGATGATGATGATGCAAACTCGAAGGTAAATATTAAGGAATTTTGTGGATTAGTTAGCAAAGGAGAATGAGAAGCTTATACCCACGAGAGAGGGTCTCAGGTATTCCTTTAGAATTCTAAATTTGCGTAAGGAATTTTGTCCAGTTTTGGATCCTAGTTTCAAATCCGGAAAAATTATCAACCACCATTGTTTCAAAAAAAGTTAACAAAAAAAGCTGTTTTTCTACCGATCTACCGATACATCCCATTAAACTCGATGTATAAAATTTATTCTTTTTGGACCGAGAAGTTCCATGAACATAAAACTTATTTTAGTTACAGAGTAAGATGTGCTCCACACAGTGCTGTAAATGGCCAGTCTTTGCTACCTGTCAATTTGAAAGTAATAAACTTCATAGACTGAAAACGAGCTTGGTGGAATGCTTCAGTAGCGAAAAAGTGTTTTATCTATATCTTCGTTTGAAGCAACGATGGCCAATAATTTTTTCAGATCTGAATAAGCCATGTATCTACCATCCGTTGCAAAACACGATGATTGTGAGAGTTTTGCTAATAACTGTTTACAAAGATGAGATAGTGATCTGCGATTTCCACTATTAAATAGCCAAGGTCTTAAGACATGCT